TTCAACAGTTCCTATGAAGAAATCTTCCTGTTCTTCATTTCTTTCAACCATGTTTAGCTTTGACTTTTGCCAATTGTTGCAAAGGGGTTTCTTTTGTTGCATGACTTGCAGGTTTGACCATACACTGGACACTGTCCTTTTTTATGACTTTGCATGGTCTTTCCTTCGTCTGGTATTTATTTTGAACTATTTTTGTTCTACCTTTTTTATCCTTTCTCACATTTTTATCACTCTTAATTTTGTGCACTTTGTCTGAGCATTTTCCTTTGGCTGGAGGTCATTTCACCGGCCCGTAGACATTGACAGCTTTTGTTAGCGTGAGGACTGCTTCTTGGAAACGTCTTGCATATACTTGATCATCAATATCGTCTGTACTTGTAGAACACTGAGAAATTTTATTGTTTTTTGAAAAATATATGCCCATTTTGAATTTGACGCCGACAACACGTTCCAGAAAAGTTGGACGGGGGCCTGTTTACTACTGTGTTTCATCATCTCTTCTTTTAACAACACTCTGTAAGTGTTTGGGAAATGAGGAGATCAACTGCTGTAGTTTTGAAAGTGAAATGTTTTCTCATTCTTGTTTGATACAAAAATTTCAGCTCCTCAGACAGGTCTGAGCTGCAGGCAGGCCAGTTTAGCACCCGGACTCTTTTAATACAGAGCAATGTTGTTGTAATACGTGCAGAATGTGGTTTGACATTGTCTTGCTGAAATAATCAAGGCCTTCCCTGAAAAAGACATTGCCTGCATGGCAGCATACGTTGATCTGAATCCTGTTGTAAATACCTTACTGTCGTAAAAAGAGTGTTCTGCTCCTGTCCCCAGGAAGTGTCATAAAATGCTGTTATTATTCAAACCATGAGAACAGGGCATGCATTCTGTTTAACACTGAATAACATAAAACTACAAAATAAATCAAAATAAAACAATTCCCAACACCATGTGCACTAATGCACCCCTATACCATCATGAATACTGGCTTTTTGAACAGTGCACTGATAACAAGCTGAGTGGTCTTTAGCCTGGAGGACACAGCGTCCGTGATTTCCGAAAAGAATTTCAAATGTTGATTTATCGGGCCACAGAACACTTCCTCTTGGTCCATTTTAAATAAAATCAGGCCCAGAGAAGGTGGCGGTGTTTCTGCATCCTATTTATATATGTTTTCTTTTTGCGTTTTACATTTGTGGATGCAGCACAACCACACAATAACGTTACTCAGTTTCAACATTTGATATGTTGTCTTTTTCAGTGAAATATAGGGTTTAAATGATTTACACATTATTGCATTTTGTTTTTATTTACATTTTGCACAGCGTCCCAACTTTTTTGGAAATGGAGATGTACATTTAGCATGTATACATATATATGTATGTAAGACATACATATATGTCTTATAGGTGGGTGAATACATCCCAGTAGTTATAAATGTTACTCTGTTGATTGTTATTTAAATGTGTCGGGGAATAATATTTTCATTTATTCATTATTTTATAATTTTATTGCACAGCTTACAATGTGCTTGTATTTAGAGTTTAGTTATGTAGCTATTATACCGATTTCCATGTCATTAGGAAGTATGTGGAAGGTACAAAGAAGATGCATGAAAACATTATATTATATAACATGAAGCCAGCACATATTACTTAATTTATGTATTAAACATATGTTTATGTATGTTAATATATGTCTGAAATATATGCCCCATATTTGAAAATGGCATACACACTACATGGACAAAAGTATTGGGACACCTACGCAGGAGCTTTTATGACATCCTATTCTAAATCCATGGGCATTAATATGGAGTTGGTCCCCCTTTGCAGCTGTAACAGCTTCCACTCTTCTGGGAAGCTTTCTACAAGATTTTTGGAGTCTGTGGGAATTTTTGCCCATTCATCCAGAAGAGCATCTGTGAGGTCAGACACTGATGTTGGACGAGAGGGTCTGGTTTACAATCTCCGCTCTCGTTCATACCAAAGGTGTTCGATGGGGTTGAGGTCAGGGCTCTGTGCAGGCCAGTCAAGTTCTTCCACACCAAACTCAACCAGCCATGCCTTTATGGACCTTGCTTTCTGCACTGGGGCTCAGTCATGCCGGAACAGAAAAGGGCCTTCCTCAAACTGGTCCCACAAAGTTGGAAGTTTACTATCGTCTATAATGTCTTGGTCTGCTGAAGCATTATAATTGTCCTTCACTGGAACTGAGAGACCAGGGCCAACCCCTGAAAAACAGCCCCATATCATTATCCCTCCCCCACCAAACTTTACGGGTGGCACAATACAGTCAGACAGGTAACGTTCCCCTGAGCATTCACCACTTTTCCACTGCTCCAGAGTCTAGTGGCTTTACATTAACTCAATCCGATGCTTGGCATTGTGCTTGCATGCAGCTGCTCGGCTGTGGAAACCCAGGCCATGAAGCTCCCAGCACACAGTTTTTGTTCTGATGTTGATGCCAGAGGAGGTTTGGAACTCTGCAGTAATTGAGTCAGCAGAGCATTTGTGACTTTTATACAGTATGCGCCTCAGCACACTGCAACCTGAGAAAAAATGTTGATGTGTATCACAAGCATGCCTATATGCACTTGAGTCAGAATGCCATGAGAAAAATAATAACTCACTCATTGCTGATGTAACTATATTTTGTTAGTTTCTTTTTTTTGTCTCCAGCCCATAGTAGAAGTGTGAAGGGCGAGTCTCATATCACAATCTTATATTTGTGGTTGTCAGTTTAATTTTGAAAAATTTCATCAGCAAGTTGTTATCTGATTTGAGGATAACATTTCCTGCCCATTTCTTGCTCACTAAAAGCATGAGAAACTGCCTAAACGGAGCAGTAAGTAGTCAAGGTTTGCATCTGTAGGCATCTGACAGTACCAAACTCATATATAGACAGAGTTTGGAGACAAACACTAATTTCCATTATATTTCCAGTCTAAACAGCTATTAAGTACACGTTCTTCATCTTTCAGTGTCAGGAATATGAGAATAGAGGGGTCTAAAAATGAAAGTGACTCATATTAAGCTATTATCGCTGTCCAATGAAAACCATGTATCTCCATTTTTTGTGATTTGTACTTTTCTGCATCATTTGAGCTCAGCATCTGTTCATGATGATTGGGCCAATAGAAATGCTCCAAAATTGCTTAGAATAAAATCTCTTTCCATTAACATACATTGAAAGTAAAGAACGTTTTTGCCCTCTCCTGTAAAGTTACTATTTTGGAGATAACTGTTTTTCTTTGGACAGCGACGATATGCAAAAGAACAAACCAGCAAATTACAGCCAAAAAACAGAAACAAACCTCACAACATACAAAACACCTGAGAAATGTACAACTGAATAAAACAGAGTCTTCGAGTGGAATCTTTCAGTGAATCTGTCACAGGGGCTGATATAAATTCCCACTCTATCACTAACTATCACACTATCACACCCTTTGCCTCTACAGGGTGCGGGGTCGCCAGCTTACTTAGCAGTTTCATAAGTATGACTGAATGATTGAATGATAACTGAATGATTCACATTAGTTACTGAAAATTCATAGTACATAAAAAATAAATGATGTAGTTATTGAATAAGTCATGGTAGTTAAATAATTCTTAGTCTTTATTGAAAAGTTTATAGCAGTTTCAAAATAATTCATAGTAGTTACCGAATAATTTGTAATAGTTACTGAATAATTCATAGTGGTTACCAAATAATTCATAGTAGCTACTTAATAATTCATAGAACTTACCAAATAATTCAAATAATTCATAGTTACCAAATAATTAATAGTAGTTACTAAATAATTTATAGTAGTTACTTAATAATTCACAGTGGTTACCAAATAATTAATAGTGGTTACTAAATAATTAATAGTAGTTACTAAATAATTCATAATGGTTACCAAATAATTCATAGTGGTTACTAAATAATTTATAGTGATTACCAAACAATTCATAGTAGTTACTAAATAATTCATAGTGGTTACCAAATAATTCATAGTGGTTACTAAATAATTAATAGTAATTACTAAATCATTTATAGTGGTCACCAAATAATCCATAGTAGTTGCTAATAATTCATAGTAGTTACCATATAATTCATAGTAGTTACTAAATACTTCATAGTGGTTACCAAATTATTCATAGTGGTTACTAAATAATTAATAGTAGTCACTAAATAATTTACAGTGATTACCAAATAATTCATACTAGTTACCAAATAATCCATAATAGTTACTAAAAATTCACAGTAGTTACCAAATAATTCATAGTATATACCAAATAATGCATAGTAGTTATTAAATAATTCATAATAGTTGCTAAACAATTCATAGTAATTACTGAATAATTCATAGTGGTAACAGAATAAATCATAGCAGTTCGCAAATATTTAATAGCAGTTACAGAATAATTCATAGTAAGTAGTGGATTAATAATAACAATCAGCTGCAAGAAGTTCAAACCATCTGAACACACAGCCTAACATGTCCACACCTATAAGTCTACTTGCTAGCTTCATTTGATTCATTTCTTTGACATTATCAAACATCCAGTATGCTAACAACAGGCAAAGCTAACTGCAGGACAGTACTCTGCTTTCAGCAGTCACACAAACACCTCAGGCTTTATCAGTCAGACAAGCATTATGTGGATTAAGTAGTCTCCATACTACCCGACTGGAGCCCCTCTACATATATAAACCGTTATCTGCCTGCTGTGCCGCTGCTCTTAGTCAGGCTGTCTAGATGCATTTTCCCCAAAGCTCAATAAAAGGTGCAAACATTCAAGCTGAAGGTGCAGTGCATGCTTGTGCACCCCCAGGTTTATCTCCACATATAGGCCTAGAACCGAATGAGGAATCTTTATTTTTGAGAGTGTGTTATGCAGTATATGATCACACTCACTAAATTCAAAATAACAATGACTTACTAATGTAATGCTTACAAACATTAATCACGAGAAAAGGAAATGAAATCTGTTGATGATAATCTGATTACAGGCACTTGATTTGGGGTTATGTAATCTAGATTATATGTAGTCACAATATTACCCAGCACTGGTTTTCAGATATAAGTAAGAAATATTCAGAAGGGAAGTGCCATAGGCCTTTAGATGGTTTCCAGAAACTTCAAGAAAGAAAGAAAGTATGTCTGTAGTGTTTTGTTTTAAATTTATTGTCTGAATTAAGGGCCTCATTCTAATAGTCCACCACTGTGCATATTAGTGATTACTATTTTAAATCAACCCTTTAAAATCCCAGGCTTATTACATACAAAGGCTTATTATTCAGTAACTACAGGGACCCTAGTGCAAACTGTCTGAGCTATTCTTTGGTTATAGAAGCGTGTAATAAAACCTTGGGCCCACCAGTGGGCCCTGGCCATTTAAAGGGTTGAGATTGTAAACTGAACTGACAAGGGTGTTAATCAACTAGTCATAAATGATGTTGAATTAAATTGGCTATATATTCTGTTATGTCTGACTGTGAGGTTGTAACGCATTCAAAAATGTATAAAAGAGCTCTACGCTGTGGTTGCTGACATTAAGGACACATTCTGACACATCTCTGTGAAAGCAGAGCTCACTGTGGTAGGGAGGAAATGGGGTTTTGAGGAGGAGCGTTTACCACTTAAACTCCTGTTCCTCACCGAAGAGAACAGATGCTCTCTCTGCTGCATCATGGCTCTCGTCTCCCTGCTTCTGCTGGCTGCCCTGCTGCCGTACCTGAGCCACTCTGGTAAGTGTCACCTACACACATCTTTAGTGTTGGAATTACATTTAATATGCATTACATAATCTGATTACCAAAATCAAGTACCTGTAATCAGAAATGATACCTGAAAAATAGGAGATCAGTACTGTTTTTAAGGAATACATTGTGTCTTTTAATGCTTAATTTACTGAGCATGCCCATAAACTGAATACGAACAATGTTTCAGATGCATGGTAAATAAATGTCGATCTCCATGAAGTCCATAACATTAATGTTTGCATAAGTGTAAGCACAGTTATAATCAGCTTGGCTTCACTCTTTCTCTCTCAGCCAGTGTAAATGTTGAGATAGTGAATGGTACAGTGGCTAAACCCCACTCCAGGCCCTACATGGTTTCTGTTCAAGCAAATAAAAATCACATGTGTGGTGGGTTCCTCGTGTCTCCGCTCTTTGTTATGACGGCTGCGCACTGCTGGGCAAGGTACGTTTTTTTTTTATTTTGAGTGTTCTCTGAGCTCCAGCGGTAACAGAAAACAATAAGTAAATAATCTTTTATAAATAATGCTAATATATAATGATAATCAGGTGAAAATTAGGGGAAATAAACAGAATGAGGTGTCATAATAAGGCCACCATGAGCCACCAGAACAGATTCAATGCACCTTGGCCTTGATTACACAAGTCTCTGGAACTATACTGTATCATTCTTCCAAAAGATTTTCCCCTCGATCTGCGTTTTGATGATGGAGAGCGCTGTTTAACACATCAGTCCAAAATCTCTTATACAGTGTTAGAAATAAAGGTTCTGTGCAGGTACATTTTTCATTCATCAAGGTACAAACAATCTAAATATTCCTTCAAAGGTACAACAGTGGTTTTAAGGTCCAATTGTGAACCTTAAATAAGATTTTTTCCAGGTGAAAAGTGCTTATTGGTACCTTTTCATAATCTAATGTTTTAAAACAGAACAATAAAATAAAAAGGCTGGAGACGAGACGGGGTGTGTGGAGTCAGTACAACCTAGAAAATATAATTTCAATGGATTATGGTACAATTATGTTCCCTGACTAAAGGTACTGAGATGTACCATTGAGGGTACCAACCCAGTGATAAGAAGGGCACTGCCACTAAGTTTCTGAGAGTGTAGGTGTTCACTGGGTTGAGATCTTGTAACTGTGAAGGCTGTTAGCATATGAATTACATCATTTTCATACTCTTTGAACCATTCAGTGACCCCTCGTGCCCTGGATGCACTCTTAAAAAAAGTGCTACTATGGATTCTCTGAGAGATGCCACAGAAGAACCATTTTAGTTAACCATTTAACCATTTATGAACGATGTTTGTAAATGAGAGGAACCTTTAAGATATAGGAAGATATAAGATATTTTCATTATGTACCACTTTAAGGGTTCTTCTGAAAATACACACTTTATGTGGAAGTTCTCTAAACTGCTTTCTGTTTAGAAAAAGCCATACAGAGAAATTATGACACTTTTTAGTCATGAGCTTCAGTTAGTTTCATTTTCACACTTTTTTTTCACGGGTGTTCGCGGTTGTTGCGAGCTGTTCATTTGTGGCTGATTTGATCAACGCCGAGCCGTTAGCATTTTGTTCGTGTGTTTACGTGTGAAATTCTAAGCAGACACTGCGGTATGTGATCTGTCTCCTGAATTAGTGAACATTTTGTTACTTATTGTTTATTTCACAGCCACACACTCTCTCTCACATACGTGCCCTCATATCAAGGCTGCAGCCTTTCCGATTAGAAATGTCAAAAGTTCAGTCCTCTGTCACCCTGAGCTCTGACAGCGTTCAGAGAAAAACAGAAAATAAAGTAAAAAGCCTGGAGTAAAGATGGAGATTATGGAATCAGTGTAACATCAAAACATATAATTGCAACTGCATATGGTGCAATTATGTTCTCTACCTACACTTTCAGAAAAAAAGGTACAAAACTATCACTGGGGCAGTACTCCTCTTGTCACTGGCGTGGGACCCTCAAGGGTACATCTCAGTACCTTTAGTCAGGGAACATAACAGTATCACAATCAAAAAGTTGTACTGACTCCCCACACCCCATCTCATCTCCAGGCTTTTTATTTTATTGTTCTGTTTTAAAACATTAGGTTATGAAAAGGAAAAAATATGTACTTTTCTACAATGAAAAACTAATTTAAGGTTCACAATTAGATCTTAAAACCACTGTTGTACTTTTGAGGGAACATTAACATTGTTTGTACCTTGATGAGCGAAAAAGGTACCTTCACAGAACCTTTAAGGTGGATTGATTTTATAAGCCACAATGACTCACATAAGCATCACCGCAATATACGCGTGTATGTGGATATGAGGAGCGAGAGGGGGTCCACAGCAGGAAGTTTAAGTCTGAGGGCGGACAGGACTGTAAAAATTTGAGAAGTACTGCCATAATATAACCATTTTAGTTAACCATTTAAGAACCAAGGGGCTCATTCACCAATATCTTTAATATTTTCATCAAAAGTTTTCCCTTAAATGTGTTCTTGAGAAAGGTCCCACAAAAAAGGAAAGGAAAATACTGCAGAGACAACACATCAAATGTTGAAACTGAGAAATTTTACTGTTTTTTGAAAAATATATGCCCATTTTGAATTTGATGCCGACAACATGTTCCAAAAAAGTTGGGACGGGGGCCTGTTTACTACTGTGTTTCATCACCTCTTCATTTACCAACACCCTGTAAGCGTTTGGGAACTGAGGAGACACTGCTGTAGTTTTGAAAGTGATGTTTTTCTATTCTTGATGTAGAATTTCAGCTCCTCAGACAGTTCTGAATATCTTTTGTTGTATTTTTCATTTCATAATATTCCAATTGTTTTCAGTGGTGATAGGTCTGAACTGCAGACAGGCCTGTTTAGCACCCAGACTCTTAATATGGAGCAATGCTATTGTGATACATACAGAATGTGGTTTGACACTGTCGTGCTGAAATAATCAAGGCCTTCCCTGAAAAAGACGTCGTCTGGATGGCAGCATATGTTACCAAAATATGTATATATCATTCAGCATTTATGGTGCCTTTACAGATGTGTACGTCACCCATGCCATGTGCACTAATGCACCCCTATAACATCATGAATACTGGCTTTTAAACTGTGCACAGATAACAAGCTGAGGGGTCTTTAGCTTAGAGGACACACTATTCATGATTTCCAAAAAGAATGTCAAATTTTGATCTTTGATCTTGATCTGATATTTGATAGTGCCGTCTTTAACAGAGTGGTGAACTCCTCATCATCTTTACTTCTGAAAGACTCAGCCTCTCTGAGATGCTTTTTTATAGCCAATCATGTTATTGACCTGTTGCCAATTAACCACCAGGTGTTTTTTTTGGCATTGCAAAACTTCACCAGCCTTTTGTTGCCCCTGTCCCAACTTTTTTGAAATGTATTCTTGGCATCAAATTCAAAATGGGCATATATTTTTCAAAAAACAATAGAATTTCTCAGTTTTGACATTGGATATGTTGTCTTTGTACTATTTTCAATTAAATATAGGGATTAAATTATTTACACATCATTGCATTTTGTTTTTATTGACATTTTGCACAGTGTCCCAACTTGTTTGGAAATGGGGTTGTAAATGAAACAAATATTTAAAGGATATAATGAACCTTCACATTACATACCACATTAATGCAGTGGTTCCCATACTTTTTACAGCAAACAAAATGCTAACGGCTAAGACCGATCACTATAAATAGCTCAGCAAGACCAGAATGAAACCAATTCTGTGAAAGAGGAAACTAACTCAAGTGCATGACTAACAAGCATCATACATAAAATGACTTACAAGCATCATACATAAAATGGCTGGCTGGTAGCCTAGTAGGAGAGGTGAGCCATCAACTGGAAGGTTGTGGGTTCAAACCCCACGACTGACTAGGTATGCCTGATTGTGCCCTTGGGCAAGGCACTTAACCCCCCATTGCCCCAGGTGGCACAGTTCTGCTGGCAACCCTGTACTGCTTCCAGATTGGGTATAGCTAGCCAGCAACATGATGAATTTCCCTTGTAGGACAGATAAAGTACATAACACAACAGTGCATGATGAACTGAAGTACCTCTACTATTGTTAGTTTCTCCTGAAGAAGGAGCTGGAGTGAAACACTTTCTTCTCTAATACCATCTATAATAATAATAATAATAATAATAATAATAATAAAAAAGGGTAAAATACTTGCATAACTACTATCTGGTTCTTCTCAACAGTCTGAAAGAGACAGGAGTGACAGCAGTGATTGGCGCTCATGATCTCAATGCCAATGACTTTGACTGCATACCTGTAAAGGAGCACTACATACATCCAAACTTTACACATGGCAATAATCCGAGCAATGACATCATGTTGTTGAAGGTAAAAAAATCACTCCCAGACGCTTTTTTTTGGGTCCATTTATCTGTGCAAAGATTCTTTTGAAGTTAAATGCAGTAATTACAGAAATTTGTTTGGCTTGTAGAGCATTTGCTTGTAGAGTATCCTCTACAAGGGATCAGTCTCATTGATCATATTTGATTCAGTTTACTAATTGTGATTATTTTCTTACAGCTAGGAAGGTCAGCTAAAAACAGCAAAAACGCTGCTTTGATTTCCATCCCTAAAATAACCGGAGACGTGAACGAGGGTACACTCTGCAGTGTAGCTGGGTGGGGACGCACAAGAACCAATGGAACTCCAAGTAATGTTCTTTTGGAGGCCAAAATTAGAGTCCTCAGCAACAATCAATGCAAAGCTCATTGGGACTACAAGAACATACTATGTGCTGGTGGTCTTCATCAAGGATTTTGCATGGTAAATTATTCCCAGTTCTGAACACTTTTTATATTCAGCTGCTTATAGTTTAAGCAGCGGCTTTATATAATAGCAGTTTGGCAGTGTGCTAACATTGTACTTGTTTGTTGCAGGGAGACTCTGGGGGTCCTTTGGTGTGTAACAGCATTGCAGTCGGTATTGCTTCTTTCTTTGACCAAAACAACTGTGATACTCCCAAAAAACCAAACGGCTACACCAAGATTTCTGCCTTCCTGCCCTGGATCAGGGGTATAATACAAGGAACGAAATAATTTCAATTAGTAAACGATATTCTTTGTTCTGACATGACTGTCAAACAAGTAAATCCACTATAAAAAAAGGCCTTTGACTGGTTATATAGGTTGTTTGTTGAAGATGACAGTAAATTCTATTTTGTTAGACTTATATATAAAAAAATAAAATGTTGAAAATTGAGATAAAATATGGCTGAAACACACCTTTGACTTGTAATGAAATAAGCGCTGTCCACCACCTGCTCACCATCACCTGCATCTTTCCTGCTTTAATGTATTTAGTATACTACCAGAAATTGGTTATTTCAGTATAAATAAGGTGCTTCGTTTCTAATAAAGTCAGTTGTGAATTCAGTTTTGATGTCATTTTTTTCTTATTTGTAGTTATTAAATGCATATTTTTGGTCGCTACTGACCCGCATCACACCATGCCACACCACTACCTTGACTTTTCAGATATGTGACCAACAAAACGCATAAAAAGTGTTAACATGTTATTATTAGTAAAATATTTTTGACAGTTTTATACTGTCATGGTCAGGTTTTGAACTGAGGGTGGGCTGGCGGGGTCCCAGTCTCCTCATAGAAGTAAAGGGACCCCCATAGTAGAAAAGAAATGACATTGGCGGGTTCGGTGTTTTCTGTCAAAGTGAATGACAACCAACAACCAATACATGACTGGAATTTTACCCATTTGTGAGGCAAACTGAATGGTAATTTGTTTTACTTTGTATGAGACCCATCAAACCTGCCTTTTTTAGGCCTAAACTATGTATTTTAACTAATTATTTGAGAAAAAGTAGGCCTTTAGACCTCATTCTGATGTGTCTTCCTATCAGCTTCTTGGTGTAAAAATCATTTACACTTGTCAAAGTGTTCATTGCCCTCAGGTGCCCCTGATTAAATGACATATTTTGTTGATTTTCTGAGTGAAAATAAGTCACACATCCTCTACAGAGAACACACGTCTGAACATTTTAATGCAAAATTACTGTTTATTTGCTAAATTTAAAAAAGAAATTGGTCTGTGCAAACATCATGGCATATTTTATATATAACAATATGTTAAACTCAGCAAATAAATAGATATTTGTACACTAGAATTTGCAGAAAAATGCTGTATCTAACATTTAGTTCTCTTTAAAGACTTATTTCCATAAAAATATGTTATGATAATAGAATTCATTAGTACATACACCAATCAGGCATAACATTATGACCACCTCCTTGTTTCTATGCTCATTGTCCATTTTATCAGCTTCACTTACTATATAGGTGCACTTCTACAATTGTAGTTCTACAATTACAGTCCATCTGTTTCTCTGCATATTTTGTTAGCCCCCTTTTACCCTGTTCTTCAGTGGTCAGGATCCCCATCCTCACAGAGGATCCTCACAGAGCAGGTACTATTTGGGTGGTGGATCATTCTCAGCACTGCAGTAACACTGACGTGGTGGTGGTGTGTTAGTGTGTGTTGCACTGGTCCGAATGGATAAGACACTGCTGGAGTTTTTAAACACTGTGTCCACTCACTGTCCACTCTATTAGACACTCTACCTTGTCAGTCCACCTTGTAGATGTAAAGTCAGAGACGATAGCTCATCTGCTGCTGCACAGTTTGTGTTGGTCATCCTCTAGTCTTTCATCAATGGTCACAGGACGCTGCCCACAGGACGCTGTTGGCTGGATATTTTTGGTTAGTGGACTATTCTCAGTCCAGCAGTGACTCTGAGGTGTTTAAAAACTCCAGCAGCATGGCTGTGTCTGATCCACTCAGACCAGCGCAACACACACTAACACACCACCACCACGTCAGTGTTACTGCAGTGCTGAGAATGATCCACCACCCAATAATACCTGCTCTGTGAGGGTCCATGGGGGTCCTGAGCACTGAAGAACAGGGTAAAAGGGGGCTAACAAAGTATGCAGAGAAACAGATGGACTACAGTCTGTAATTGTAGAACTACAAAGTGCACCTATATAGTAAGTGGAGCTGAAAAAATGGACAATGAGCATAGAAACGAGGAGGTCATAATGTTATGCCTGATCAGTGTAGGTGACCTCATCATCAGACTTTCCACCAGGGGACCCCCAAGACCTCTGGCACAATTTGAGCCCTGATGTGGCGGTTTATAGATCAGTTTGCGTTAGATAGAAGTGCTGGATGGCTAATGTAGATGGGTATATATGAATGGTAGGTGAACTACCCATTAGGCTTTACTGATTAACTGTATTTGAGACCAATAGGATTGTATATATTTTAATTTCTCTTTATATGAAGGAATCCCTGTGTGGTTATTGTCCTCTTGTCAAATGTACTTTGCTGAGGCCCGATGCTCATAGCAGTACTGTACCAGCAGAAGGTTCAAAACTGACCCAGATCAGCAAAGAACAACATTACATTTGGACACCAGCTGAGAAAGGAAATAACTGAAGTCAATAAAATACAGTGCAAAGTACTTGGAGCTCCTACTTGTAATAAATAAACTGATAGAAGTTTATTTTTATTTCCATTCGTATTCACAAAGAAAACATAAAACGCATGTTAGGCTATATAAAGCTTTAATACAGAATATGTGTTTATTAAGCAGAACAACAATCAATATTACATCAACAGTATTTATCCACAACATACACCCATCAGTCATAACATTAAATCCAGCATATCATCCATAACATCCACCTTCCTGCATCTAAACTCTTCGTCCATTTTATCAGCTCCACTTACCATATAGGAGCACTTTGTAGTTCTACAATTACAGACTGTAGTCCATCTGTTACTCTGCATACTTTGTTAGCCCACTTCAATGGTCAGGACCCCACAGAGAAGGTACTATTTAGGTGGTGGATCATTCTCAGCACTGCAGTAACACTGACACGGTGGTGATGTTAGTGTGTGTTGTGCTGGTCTGAGTGGATCAGACACAGCAGTGCTGCTGGAGCTCTTAAACACCTCAGTGTCACTGCTGGGCTGAGAATAGTCCACTAACCAAAAATATCCAGCCAACAGCGTCCTGTGACCTGAAAACAAACTGTGCAGATGAGCTTCTGTCTCTGACTTCATATATACATGTATATATATATGTGTGTGTGTGTATATATGTATATATATATATATATATATATATATATATATATATATATATATATATATATATATATATATATACATGTAAGCAATAGAACATGAGAAGGAGCTTGCCGTAGATCATTATAGCGATAACACATGACCTCAAGTGTTCTGTTGATTTAATACAACAGTTAAATAAATAAAGTAAGAAATAAATAAACTGGGCCGTGAACGTGACTTTTAATATGTTTTAATGTTCGCAGTTCCTTCTGCCAAATTATTGTTCCTCAACAAGCAGCTCGTTGCTACATCAGAGTAACGAGCTCCGCTCACTGTGACAGAAGAACAATTAAACAACCTGGAACCAGCCACCCTGATAGCAAGAGGACAGTTGTGCACTGTCGGCCCGCAAATGGCAAAGCTGGCGGTCCACTGGCGGTTTGCTCAGTGTTTTCTGGGCGGTCCACTGGCGGTTAAGCGGAGTATTAGACAAAAGTCCACTTATCATCTCTCATTTTCCACTCACAGCCCAGTTTACTGATATTTCCTTCCTTCATTTCTTTAGTTACACTGTGTAAATTAGATTAGTAAATCATTTTAATCTAGCACAGTGTCAGCAACAACATTTTCAATAAAATCAATGTTTTAAACCTAATATTTCAAAACAGAAAAAAATAAGTAAAGATGGAAAATATGGAATCAATGGAACTTGAAAAATATATAATTGCAGTTGAATGATGAAATACTGTTCCCTAGCTGAAAATCATGAATATGGGGCAGCACCCCAGTGACCGTATAGCATGTTTTTCTGAGAGTGTAAGTCTGATGTGTTGTGTCATCACATCATAAACATATATACGTATTAAGGTAGATTGATTTTAGAATCCAAAATGTCTCACATAAGCATCACTGCAATATATGTATGTATGTGTGTATGAGGAGCGAGAGGGGGTCCGCAGCGGGAAGTTTAATGTGCCCTGTACGGGGCTGTAAAATGTTTGGGAAGCACTACCATAGAGGACATGTTAACTTATTATCACTTAGCCAAATCAACACAACATGGGCTGCGTATGACTGTGTATATCCAGCACATTCACTTTTCTATGTACTAGAAAAATATTGCGTTTTTAACATCAGCTCATCACTGCTGAGATCTTGAGCTGAACGTTAAATCTGCCACACGTCATTTGGTCAGATTCCAGATTTAAACCTATCTTAAACCTCATCTTGATGACGTGTTTACTGGCATTTTGAGAGGTGGCTGAGTTTTTGCTGACAGTGACCACACAGGATATAACACCATACATTTCACATAAGCATCACATTTCTTATAAATATGATGATTTTGAATATTTGAGAACCACCAACAATAAATGAAGCCAAATTATTTGATACATGACTCAGCACTGTGAAAAGCAATTTGTTTTGCTTTGATTTAGGACGTACTTGATCGTGAACTGTCATGGAACAGAAGAGACTGGGTCTCAGTCACCAATGTCTTCCTAAGGTTTTTCTTAAATGTGTTCTTGAGAAAGGTCCTGTGAAAAAGTCTGCGTCAGATTCATGACATGTTCTTAAACTACAGAATTGTGCTCACCTTTGTGCTCTTGAGTGTGTTGATTCTGTTCTTACCTGAGAACAAATTCTAAATACGAAAACACTTGTGAATGTCAGAATCTTCGTAAAAACTGTGGGTTTTAAGAAGAAATTTCTTCTTAAGAACAGTTGGTGAATGAGGCTCAATGTCCTTCAGGTAACACTTCTATTTCACAATGTCCTGGCACTTGAAAATGGTTGACACTTTATTTTGAGTGGTCCTTTTAGACAGAACAAACACTCAACAGACTCTCAGTAACATGTCAAAAACATATGAGTCTTAGGATTATGTTCTGGGTTGAGGTTAAAATTAGAGTTAGGATTAGGGCCAGGGTGAGGGTTAGGTTTTAGATAAGGTTAGGTAAGGTTAGGTTTTGTGTAACAGAAGTAACATATTAACTATTTACATATTTACTTAATGTAAGTAATGTATCAACAGAACATCTAGAAGACATTTACCTTAATGTATTCAGATGCTTCACTACTGTTACGTTACTGATATGTTGTTGATGTGTTCTGATAATCTGTTTAGTCTGTTTACTTTGTTTCTAGAGAGATGAGACATACTTGCCATTCTGCATTTGAAGCATCAGATAAAGTTTCTCCTGCTCTACTTATTCAGCCTTATATATTAGATGAGTCAGATAGTGGGAAAGATACTTGAACAGAGATACTTTTCTGCTACATC